AGTTACCGAGCGTAAATTAACATTTACTTGTGTTGAAAGCGGTCAAAGAACATTAAATTGAAGCCATTTATAGTTGTTTCAATGTACTAAATCGAATCAACTCCTATTGCTCAGCCAACTGATGCCTACTAATGGTATTCGACCTTATATCGGCGGACTTTAACGAAAAAGGAAATTCGGGCTACTGAAAATGTAAAAGTAGTTTATTATCATTAGTCAAAGGCTAATAGGTCCTCTAGAGACAGTCCTATCGATTACTGGGTAAGAATGTTACCTCCTCCTCCTATACGTACTCCCCTTTCCCTTTTAGTGCAACCTTGCACAGAGTCTGCCTGCTCAGTCTGATGCCACGGAAGAGGAATCAAGAGCAGCGGAGGTAAGCACTATTGAGACTCCGGAAATGGTAGTTTCGACTGATGAGACTTCTGTCCCACCAACCGCCCCCACGACCACGACCTGCGGCACCAACTATGCGGCGGAGGAGGGTTCTCATTGCGGTGATGACTGTCCCTCTGATGGGGAAGCCAGCAGTAACGGCTCAACCAGCAGCACTGGCAGCAGTAGCGGCAGCGGCAGTGACAGTTACACTTCATCTCCAAAAAACAACCGCAATTGTCGTTCCCGCGGCTTTGGAGTCCTCTCTGACATCAGCGAGAGGACAGAAGAGACGGAAACCACGGCTCCGAGTAGTCTGATGGGGCAGTGTGAAAGAAACAGCGTCTCTACCCTGCTCGACCTCGCTCTCCAACAGAGCAGACTGGTCACTGCGGAAAGGGACCCTGGTAAGTGCTTAGACTAAACTGGAGACGGATATGTCCAACTGATGCCAGATCCACCTACGCTCCGGCATACAATGAATATGCGCATTCCTATGTCCTTTTTAGAAGAAATCGGAGGGCTAGCTGCCTGGCCATCCTTGCCATCGGAGGAGATTGTATTTGGCTCACCTCCGCTTTCCTTCCTAAAATTAACTGGTGGCGCAATGACTGTAGGTTGATAATTTACCTTGCTTATGGTTTTCATTAATCAAATGCTTTTTTACTTATCTAAAACCTGTAAGCAATTTCGGTTGCATGTATCCTGCAGCTGTAGCCTGCAGACCACGTAGCGATTAAAAAAGACGCTCCACAGGCATCTACAATCGTCCGCATGATTGGAAAAGGTGTTGTGTCAAAGCCAAGTATTTGTTCTCATAATAAAAAAAGCCAGCAATAAATATTTTGCACCCTATTACCACCTGTCGCGTGTTACACAATCCTGAGGTTTTTATTACAGTGGTAATGTTTATAAGGAACCCCTACTGTTATAACCGTGTGTGTTCCTGTGTCAACACTGGTTATGTCCCCCAGTTACGTTTTAGGAAGAGAAGGCAGAACAGGATAGCAGATATTACTTTACTGTCACTTCTACTAGTACATCAGCTCTGTTTCCTGTGTGTCCAGCAGCTTGTCTTCTG